CGATCTGTTGATGGTCAAGGACCACCAGGAAGGGGTCAGTGGAAGATCAGTGGAATAATTTCAGACCTCCCCAATGCAGGCTGCCAGTTTTACTTAAGCTACTGGACACTACTGTGTTTTTATCAAGATAATTAAAATAATAGAAATATTTTCATATGAACAAACAAAGAATGAAAATCCAAAGCTTGAAGAGGTATTGGTATGCAAAAAAATCGTTCAAGTCAATCCATAACACCTCTAAAATTACAAAATTAAAACCATAGGCTACAAAATAACTGATATGGTTTAAACCCATTTGGTAACTAAGTATCATGCATCCACTTGCTCACTGCCTCCCACTTCAACTCAGCCCCCTCTTGGGGAGGACAATCAGAAAGAACCAGCAGAACTTGTGTGTTGAGAAAAGAAAGATTTAATAATGGAAGCACAAGATCATAATAATGTTATTATTTATAATAATAAAATATTCTAATAATTTTAATAATACTAATTTTATTGATAAGAAGAAGGAGAGAATGTGAGGGGACACAAGAGAAGTAAGAGAAGGACAACAGAATTGCTCACGATCCAGTGACTGATGCAGAGCCTGTCTCTGAGCAGGAATTGACCCCATCTGGTTATCTCTCCTAGTTTATATACTGGGCATTTTGTCCCTTGGGAAGGAATATTCCTTCAGCCAGTTTGGTTGAGCTGCCCCAGCTGGGCTTCCTCCCAGCTTCTTGTGCACCTGCTCACTGGCTGAGCAAGCACAAGACACTGAAAACTCCTGGATTTAGAGCAAGTCCTACGTAGCAACAACCAAAGCAATATTCTAATACTGAATCAAAACCACAGCACAGTACCAGCTGCAGATAAGTCTGTTCCAGCTGAAACCAGGGCAATGACTCAAATCACTTGAGATAGTGACAGATAGCCCCTTAAGTGACCCCCGACATTTAAGTGAGTATTTCCCTGAAATGCAACTTAACGTTTGCAGGAAAACTCCTAGAGAAGAATTTCCTGGTTGAAAAGCTATTTTAAAAGATGAGTGGGACAAAGCAAGATAAAAAACAGGGGTACCCCTAAAAGGATTAAATGTCAGTGTAAGAAAGCATTGCTTGTATCATGTTTTGAAGCTGCTAAACTTTGGAAACCAAAAAAAAAAAATTAAGGATTCCACCTACATTGTTCAGTGCAGAGAGGGCCATATTTTACAGCATTGGGCTGCTCCTAAGTAAAATTTATTTTAGTCCTGAGATTGCCTTCCTTTTAGAAAAGGGAATGAAAACTTGAAATCAGAGAACAAAGTCGAACAAATATTGTGGAAAGGAGACAGGATCAAAAAAACAAGGATATTGGAAAAAAATGGGAAATTCAGAAATTGAATGACTGTAACCAAATGGACTGAGAGGAAATGAGGTGCAGAAAAAGAACCAAAACCTGCCAAAATTATTCTAATTCAAATCTTGAAATCAGGGAAGAAATGTAAATAAACACGGAGGAGAAGACTTGGAAGAAATGAAATGCTAAAAATACATATGGGAACATTCTGAAACCAAGTGAATTGGTTTCAGAAAGTGAATGGGATGCCAAGAAGTGCAGGGAAATGGACCAAAGCTTGCCTAAATAATCCTCATTGAAATTGCAAGATTTCATTCCCTTTCCTGAGAGGCAGTTCAGGTATCTGAGATGGCCACCTCCAAGGGCTGCTCAGATCCTTGTTGGAATGGATCACTACAAAACTAATATCAAAAACCATTTCAATTCTGCTTGACCAAGAAGCTAGATGTCATAATCTAACATGTGCATTTGATGTACTGAAAGTCTGGAAAACACCAATAATCTCGTATTCTCCTAAAGTAGCATCCAATAATTTGTCTCTTCATGACAGTGTGATTCCTTCTAAGGACGGGCTTTAGCTCTTCCTGCACAACCAGCTCAACCAAAGGACAAAACCCCTTAGAAGTGTATAGGGAGAGTTAGACATCTGCTCTCAGGATTTACTGAACCTGAACTTTCAGGATTGTTTTCTAAATGTTATAACTCTTCAGTAGAATATTGTACCTTCCCACTGTTATTTTTTCTTTTATCTTTTTATGGTGAAAGATATGAATGTCTCATACATATTGGAAGTTGTTTTCAGTATTACTAAATTGTTTATTAGCTTTTCCCTCTGAAATCCCAATAATATACTTTTAAATAAAATTTGTCTTCTGTATACAGTTGATAATACTATGATCAAAATAAAATGGTTTATCTAATAAACATCTGGACGTGAGTGACAGTGAAAATAGACCTTGATAATAATTTGAAAAATGAAGGCTCTTTTGAAGTTCTAGGCTACAAAACAGCTATCTCAAAGAGTTTCAACTAAATATTTCTTTTCAAATAAACTGAAGGGTTAGAGGAGGGCAGGTAATAGGTCTTGTCAAAAGCTACAGTACACTCGGCTACCTTGTGTTGAATTTTACAATCTTGGAATTCCATATAAACACCAGGATATATCTGCTCAGCTGGAGCATATTCCTCCATTGCTACTTAACTCTTCCAGGTAAGATCTTGGTTGTACACATTGTAAGGCAGGTGTGGCAGGGTAATAAATAAGGGACTTAAATCCATTTCTGTGCATGGTAGGGGCATGCATACTTCAGATGGACATATCTGGAAACCAGGTGGAAGAGCCTGATAGCTGGGTTTTTGGTTTGTGGCTGTAAGGAGGAATTACTGGTGGGAAGCATTAACATCTGCAGCCACAATACATGGTTACTCACGTTTCCTTTCTTCTCCTGGGGTGCTAATCATACAGTGTACCTCCCAAGCCTGAGGGTGTCTGGCCTCCAGGTCACCACAAAAGGCCAAAGCTATTATGCAGGAGCAGAGCCTAAAGAGCAGACCAGTGGTATTTGTGGGGATGAGTCATCTCCCATGGAAGAACTACATAGGAACTACCCTATGACTTTCAGTATTGAAGGTGACTAGCATCAAAGGAACTATATGCAAATAATAGAATGTAGTGGGTTTGGTTCACCAACTCTAGATTTCCCAGCCAATGCAGCAATTAATGTGGTGGTTTTCAGTGCTGGCCAAATGCCAGCTCACCCACTAGAATATACTTACTCATTTCCTGCTGTGAGATAGGATTAAAAGGAAGGCAAAGCAGGCTCAAAACTTTAAAGGATATAATGAAATCTTTATTAACAGTAATGGAAAAACATTAAAAAAAACATTATTAACAGTAATGAAAAAAAGAAAAAGAATAATAAGAATTAGAATAAAACTTTTATAACACTTCTCACCCCATAACCTTCTCTTTCCCACTCACAATGTACAGAAACAATTCAGTCAGTTTATCACTTCTAGAACAGTCTTTCTGCAGTTCACTTAAGGAGAGGAGTTCCTCTAGTAAAGTTTTGGAGACTTCTCCACAAGAAAACAGTTCTCTCATGGCTTTTAATAGCAGCAGCCCAGAAAAAGTCTGCAATTGTGAAGTCCTTCCCATTTTTCACAGAGTTTCCCACAGCTGTGTTTATGGGCCATGTCAAGTTATGAGATACTATTTTAAGGATGAGCTGTTCAAAAACAAATGTTCTCTTTATCTCAGAGATAACCTTCATCTCTGGGAACAGAGGTCCTCTCCTCTCCCTGGGGCACAGGGTCTTCATTACTCTTCTCTCGCTCTGTTCAAATTTCTTATTAAATTCACAGCTATTTCAATATTTGCCTGCTTCAACACAGGTTTGAACAATCCATCCCACCATAATTCTTCAATGCATTATAGGGAAATAAAAAAGTCTGATGGATTAATTAAATTCTTCCCCATAGATTTACAAGAGGATTTTAGCCCCCAGATCAAGACTTCTCCTCATCCCTCCCATCTAGGACTCAACTTCCTCTTCACTGACTTCAGTGTCCTCATGTTGGTCCTATGTGCCTACACTTTGTCTTTTTCTCTCACTCCAGGGAGAATTGAAACAATGAGAGTAATTATCTCTCCCAGGGCCTGCAGATAGTTGCCCTACTGCAGCAGGGCTCAGTAGCTAGTGGCCAGGGCTGTTTTACAGTGGAGGGTTCTGTAGTGGCTTCCATGGGGCTGCGCCAGGATCAGCTCCGCTGGGCCAGGATCTCAGCAGCCATGCCAGAACTCGGCAGCTGGCACAGGCAGGGGCTGATGGCTTCTCCTGCCCTTTGCCCGGTGTTTGTGGGTGATTCTCAGTGCTGGTAGAATCTTGGCCAAGCTGGCCCAGCTTGGGGATGCTTTCTGCAGGGGCTGCAGAGCCACCTCTGTTATTTTCAGAGGTATGAGGAGGGCCAGGACCTCCGCAGCCAGGCTTGGACCCAGCAGCCGATGGCATTCCCTGCCCCTGCCCTGCAGCCACTGAGGCCCAGCCTGGCCTGGGCCCTGTGGTCTCCTCTCCCTGTGCCTGGCAGCCGATGGGACCTGGCCCCGTGGCAGAGCTTGCCTGGCCCAGCATGGCTCGGCCGAGATGGGGGCGGTGAGGGCCAGGCCGGCCATGTTACCTGCTCTCAGGGCAGAAAAGGAAAAGGCAGCATTCCTGGGATTTTTAGTTTTTAACATGAGTGTTCACAGAGCCATGAAATAAATAGGGCAGGAGATCTTTCTCCTTTTTCATGCCTTTATTAAAAATCAGTTCAAGTGGGAAGAACCAATGGGTTGCGCACAAGCCGCCACTGCTCTCGGGAGTGGCACAGAGGAGGAGAAAGAGTGCAGCTGTGTCCACTGCTCTGCGGACAGAGTTGGGACTTCCATCCTCACCAGGGCACCAGGAGATTCCTGTTTTTTTCAGTTTGTCATTCAAGGTTCTCTTTCTTGCCAACATCTTTTAGATTACGGTGAGAGGTAAAAAGGGTCTTAGCAGGCACTGGAGTCTGTTCCTCACCTCTAAACATCACTTAGATCTCTTAATTCCATGGTGGCTCAATTTTTAGGGGTTTTTCCTGCTAGATTTGGTGAGGGGTTTCCTCATTTGCACGCCAACCCTGATATCACCTTCTCCTCACAGTCCCGGGTGCCATCTTCCAGGAAGCAGCAGGGTGATACTCGACAAAGGGGGATTTCGAACCATCAAAAACAGGTAATTAAAGAAAAACTATTAACAACGGGTGATTGCAACATGAAATTATTAACAACAAATAGTTAGAACTCCAACTTAGCAGCAATTGGTTTAACCTGTTAATTCTGCAACCTTTAAAAAAAATGGACAACTTTTCTGCTCATAACAGCTGTATCAGCTTTCTCAGTGGTTTAACAGATTGCTAATTCTCAAAGCTAATTACTGATTGTTTTTTTGTCAGACATGGAGGAAACTGCTAGCAGCTTCTCTTAGAACATCATTTTTGTGATGCAAAACCAGCATATTGAAAATAATTGCTGTATTCTAATACAATGAATAATCAATAGCATATTAATATGAAATTAAATATATAAATCTAAGTATGTTAATTAGAAAGCATTATTAATGTTTTCCAGGTGTGTTTTCTGGATTATGTCATCACTTCCTTTCTTCAAGAATTACACCTATCTTGGATTACTATTTCAGTCTTCTTCAGCATTTTATGAGATGAGCACACCACACATAAGGTGCACAGACATAATTTTAGCCTCCCAAAACCTATCTTTGCTACAGAATTCCTGCTGGAAATGTGAGGATCTTTTAGGGTAACAACATGTAAAAGACAGAAAATATGTCCCCATCACCTCATCCACATATAAAATCTGACTTCAAACAAGATTTTCTCTACACATCAATCCCTGCTTTTTACTGCAAATGCTAGAGCCAATGTCACTTTCTTCCTCTCATCATCAATAGCAAAGTACAGAGGTCTTGCCCCACTATCTCTCAAACAAACAGAAGATTTTATCTAGGTGAAAAGAAACCAAGCAGGCATAGTCCTGAAAAACAGTGCCTTGTTTTGCATTCTAATCCAACAAGGTAAAGATTTCTTGCACGCTTCAATGGCTCGGCTTAAAAAGTGTATCTGCAAATTGGAAACTTTAGGTAATAAGAAATTTAGAAACTTCAGTCTCCAATGTCTCCTGTTACCTAATTTTATCTGTGTGTATACCAGATATTCATACATGCAGACACAATATAATCTGGAGGTACAATTAGAAATCAAATATCTGTGGGTGAGTTTCATTTTTTTTTCCATGTAATTAGCCTTCAAACACACCTTGGGTTTTTTTTTTTTCTTTAGGTATTTCACTGTGTGCCACTCAGTTTACACTTTCCACAGGAATATTTTAGTGGAAGCTTGCTCACCACCCTTCAGACACATTAAACAGAAAGAGGAAATAAATCACTCTTAAGTGGTAATTAAATGCTCAAATAATGGGTTTGAGCATTGCACATGCACAGCAGCTTGCTGCTTGGAAAGGCTAGTGAAAAGCTAAGCCATCAGAGCAAAACTGTGAGCTGGAAAAGCAAACGCGGATCCCCGTGGTTTCAGTGGCTGCAGCTGTGTGAGTGGAGCAGCAGGCCAACAGGCGGGTGGTGCATGGTGTGTCCTGCATGCACCTGGGGAAAGCCAAACAGCATATTTTCCTTTGACCAAGATATTTACAGAAAAGGCAAATCTGGGAATCTTAAGATGCCCTCCCTGCTTGTTCCCCACATACTGGAAGAAAGGCAAGATTATTAAACAAACTAACTTAGCGTATGGTCCTTTGGAACCATACTGTTAATGATTTTTATCCTGGAAATCAATTAAAAGGCCTCCATGTACTGGCTGATTGCTCAGGCTGGAAGGGTTGGTGGTGCATATTGTTTATGATTATTAGCAGTGTTCAGTATTTCTTGTAGTGAAGTCAGTGGAGTAACAAAACTTCAGCACAATCATGAGTGCATGCACTATGATCTTGAAATTTTTAGTAGGAATGAAGCTCTCATTAACTTAAGAAATAATTACATATAATGAGAAGAAACGTAGAGAAAGTGTGACAAAATACTAACAAAATGTAGATTCTTATACTGACATAATGTATTAATTTGTGTCCATTTTATTTTGATGTGGATAATTGTGACAATTCATTGCATTAGCATCCAAATTATTTGGGGTTTTTGTCAATAACAACCATGATCAATGACCAATCTTTGTCTTACAATAAAAATATTAGCATACGTTAGTGAAGTTTAATTCCACCAGATTTTTTCCTATCACCACTTTGGCAAACATGATGGTGATTGGATTTTCTATGCCCTTACTGATGCACCAAAGCATTTTGGTGAATCATACCACAGCTGATTTATGTTATGACAGTCTCTTTCCATAGAAACACTTTTCAGAGTCTTATATATGGGTAGCTCTTTCTACATATTGTCACAAAAATAATGAGAATTAAATTAAAGCTGCTTTAGTAATTCATAAAGAAATTACATTTACCAACTTTTTTCTCAGTTCTTAGATTATCCCTTCAAGACCTAGCACTTCCAATCATGAGTAGATCAGCATGAGATAAATGCCAAGTGATTTTCTAGAAAGCAGTGTGACAAGCACAATGTAAGCCCATTTTAGGTGAAATGCAACGGTATCATTCAATGTAAACTCTCTGACTCCCAGTGCCCACACTTTTCCTGTTATTCTGTTGAAAAGCCTAAGCACATTTCCTTTCAACAATTGGCTATAGTCACATTTTGTCTGCCTTTTCTGAAGGGCATTGAGTCCTGGCTGTTAAAAGGCATATAAAGAGATATAAGCATCTAGGCTCTTGTGTCTTGAGTATGGTAAAGGCTCCAGGTCAGGCACCTCTGCTCAGCTCAGGCAGAGCGAACCACAGCCAAAGATGGGCACTAACAAAGGAGGCCCTGAAGCAATGTGGTACTGGCACAGTTAAAGGATGGCTTTTGTTGTTGTACACTTGCTTAGCAGAAGGTATCTGGGCTTAACATTTACTTTATAGGTGTTGTCAAAATATTAGAGAAGAGCAGCTCTACTTAACCTTTTGCAGTGAGACCTGGGTTTATGCTGTCTGCTTTTTGAGCTGTTTCAGTACAAGCCATCTCTGAAAAGAAAATAGTGTGAGGCAAAGTGGAAGGGTTCAGGAGAAAAAAGCTCATTTCTTTAGCAATACTTATCTTGTACATAGCAATGTGCAAATGCAACCTTGTTAGCACAAACCCCACTTTGACTCCAAGAGTGTTTAAAAAGTTTTTGCTTTTTTCATTTTTTTTCAGAATTGTGACATTTAAAACATGTATATACCAAGCCACATATCCACTTTTTAAGCAAGTACTTTCATTTCCTATTTTGTTGTTGAATGGAAAGAAGGTTAGAGATATATGAAAAAATGTGAGCAACCAGAAAGAGTTCAAGGTTTCAAGATGGGCTCAAATTCAGTTAATGTGTGTTCATCTAAGCTGTGTATTCTATCCTACTTTATGGTTTGGGTAGCAATATAGTGGCAGAATTATTTAAAATAATATGATTTAGAGATCAAAGCTCTTGATAAATTTTTCTTTGAAGTTGTGTTTATTTATAAGCTTTACACAATGTTTCTTAAAAAAAGGGATATATTTTACCATATAACCATACACAGTGTTTGTACCTCAGAATAGGGATTTCAGACAGATCAAAATATTAATGATTTTGATTTACTTCAAACGAAAAAGATCAGAATTAATTTCTCAAAATTTACACATTGGGAACCAAATAAGGCATGGAAATGTACTGATTTTTTGATGTATATTGTGGAAGAATAATTAAGAATAATTCATATTTCGAGCTTTCAGAGGACAACATTTGCATTTCAAGAAAATTAATATTAATAAAATGTTTTGGAGTTATTTATTTCTATATTTATTTATTTTATTTATTTTGCAGCCCAAAAAGTAAGGACAAAATTAAAAAATGCAGATAGCAGGAAGTTTTGTGTGTTAGATTTACTCCAACACAACTGAGGACCCGCAATGATTGAGTCTGTATAATTACATGCTGACTCCATTGTAACCAGCAGACTACCTTAGACTGTGACTTCTAAGCAGTGATTAGTCCCTCTGTGTACTCCACACATCCCAGCAAAGTGATGAGTTGTCCTGTTCTTACATTCATTCAAGGTTGCCTTGGCAACCATGTGATAAGATGGTTCCATAATGTCTGTCCAGCTTTTTTCACTACAGCATGAGTTTAGAGATTAGACAATTTCAAAAGATGGTTTTTCCCCCTAGGGCCCACAGTCTCAGTATAAATTTCTTCCTGTATCAATAAACTTGCTAGTCTACTTGTTAACAAATCAATGTGTTTATGCTGTTACTTCCCATATCTGTATGCAGACATTGATTCAACTGCTCTGTATTTCACTGAGTGCATTTACTAAATACTTATTTTTAATGTAGCTTTCTCAAATTTTGTTAGACCGTCACTTTCTGTGGACAGGGTTGCCTCTGTTAATTCTAAATTCTGTTTGCCCCTAACATTAAAACATGTAAAAATATTATATAAATTTTAAGGAAGACACAGATGATAAAGACCTAGAATTATTTTATTCAAAATTGGTATAGTAATATTATCAAGTAATATTATTTGATAATTATTTGATATACTGACATGCAGAAGACGGATTTCAAAGACAGCGTTTTCTGATGCAATGCCTGAAACTAGGCAGCTGAAGAGAGGAGGAAAATAGAAACTGTATTATTGTCATCAGTGAAGTGCAATCAGTGAGTCAATCAGTGTCATCTGTGAGTTCAAACAAAAGTATAGACAGGACACATGTCATGGAACCTGGAACACTGAGAAATGTAATTGGAGGCTGTACCTTCTAGGACACCAGACAGTCCATTTTGAGGTTTTCTTCTTTGAGGTTTCTGTGGTTGCTGATGAAGATCCAATTCACACTGCACATTAGTAGAACAGGAGTCTATCATCAGACACAAGAGAAATTCACTGAAGAACCTCTCAAATGTGCTGCTTCTATTTTTACACCACATTCATGGTTTCAAATACTTCTACATTCATGGAGGTTAAAACCTTGCAAACAAAATTATTCTAGCCTGTCACAGACCTGCCTGATCAGTCAGGAAAATCCAGGTCAGTGCCTGCAGACTGACCCAGAGTAAACTTCAGAGTTGGCATCCAGCAGGTGTTTCCCTGAGATCTGGCATATCTGCTTCAGTTCTCAGAGAAAATGGGATTATTCAGGGTGAAGATGAGGGGATCCTTTGAAAAGTAAGTCTATATGGGAAAAAGTAAAATTTCATGTGCTTCCTATTGACAGTAAGAGAAGTATTTGCAGTTGCTGGTTTTGTGAACTGTTTCTTTCAGTAGTGAATCAGTCATAAAATTTTTATGGCAAATTATTTTGATCACATTATTTTAAAGTACTTTCATTTTCACTTCTTGTGACCTACATGAATCACCCTTTTTATTATGTTCACTCATCTTTTAAGTACCACTTGCAGCATTTTCTTTGTCGTACCTGATAAAAAAAGAAAGGGGGGGGGGGGGGAAGATACTTGAAAAGCGTGAATTCTGGACATAAAAGCAGGTATCACAGAAAAAAAAGAAATTCTTTTACAACTCAGGGTCTTGGGCACTCTTTTTAGCATTTAATTTTGAACTCTAAGAATATCTCAATCAAAGTAAGCTGAGGTCAGTTTGTCAGCACTGAAAACATTGTGTCATGGTCCTGTGAAGACTCAGCTGGAACATTTAAAAAGAGGAGAAGAGAGAAAATGTCTTTTTCTTCTCATTCATTTGTTGTTTAAAAGAGACTCTGCTGACTCTATGTAGTAGTGAAACTTAGAGAAGTAGTATTAAAAGCTTGGATTGCAGCCTTCCGAGTTTTGAGCGTGTTTACTGCATATGGATGTAGGAAAATTTTACTTATTCATGCGTCTTGATAATTACATATTCCTTTCTGCTCTAAAGTCAGAAAGGCTCACCAGAATTAATGATTTTACTCTCTCAATTCTCAAAAAAAATAAAACAGTTACATATTTTATTTAAAACAGAAAGTGAGCAAGGTCTTGCTATTTTGCATTACAGTGCAAAATAAAAAGTATTAAGCAACCTCTTTCATAGTCATTTAACTTTTCATTCCTAAAGCCATAATTCATTTAAGTTCCAGATCAGCTTGAATGGCCATTGTCACAACAGGCATAGTTTTGCCTTCTACAAATTATAGTTCTATATTTAGTACTCAGTTGTTTTAGCAAATTAGTAAAGTTTTCATTGTCCTTATTTTTTTCCTATTTCTTTTTGACATGCTAATTTATTAGCATTTTATTTTCTTTTTATTGACAAGGACAAGCTAATTTTCAGCCTCCTTTTTGCAAACAAAAATAAAGCTCCAGGGATGTATTTTATATTATTATTTTAATGCCTCAGTAACCATTTGACAAGTTGTAAAGTGGGAGTTAAGAAATGCTGAGGCTGACAAATTCTGCTATAAAATTAAATGTGTAAGAAATTTCAGTGTCTGATTTGTAAGGAGAGAAGGATACAGTCTTGAAATAGACTAGGTGAAGCTACACCCACTCAAGTGCACTAATATGGTGCAGCACCCTGAGGAGGCACTCGTTTGTCTGTGCTGAAATAAGATAAAAGCTAATTTAAGAGCAAGGACTAGAAGAACTAAGGCCTACATTAAGGGTTTCAGTAACCTGAACAAAAGACACATGAGAGCTTGAATTTCAGTGTTTTGACCTGAGATAGTAGATAACTTCAAAACTTTATGCAGCATGCAGCTTATCACAGCCTCAATCTCTGCAGCTGTTGCAGAACCAACACTGCTGTGCTTTTTTTGATTTTAGAAATGGGTCAATGTGCAGCATTCTCTGTTGTATTGCACAGACATGTTCTACCTTCACTTTCTCAGATCTCCTAGAAAATCTAAAGAAAAAAGAGACTTTCAAAGACAAAATTAGTGCCTTAATTAAAAAAAAAAAATTGTAGATTCTACTTACCTATCCTTTCCACAGGTAGTATTAGAACTTTTAAGTTGTTTTCTTAAAGATCTAGAGAAAATGTTTCAGGTTCAAATGTTCTAGCATTACACGTGCATATAGGAATTTTTGACATTACTAGTTTTAATAAAAATTAATTTTAGTCATGATAGAAGGTGGACTAACAAACTTCCGAGGTTCTTTCCTACAGTGTACTTCTATGGTTATATGAATTTGGAAAAACCTGAAAAGTTCAGAAGCCTTTGGTCTTGAAAAGATCAAGATAAAAATTACATATGCAATGTTTTCAGATCTCAATAGATAAGAGATCTGATTTGAAAAATAACAAGCAGGTTTTTTCTGCTGTTTATTGTAAGAAAACAATTTTTTGTGTCTGTGTAGCAATTCAACAATCTCTGAACTTATGTATACTACACAGAGTTTTCCTTTTAACAAGAAAGACATCTGGTTCTGCTAATTTAATCTTGAAATATTTCACAGCAGTCTTTGTTATGACAACCAAAGGAAATCCCAGGTCGAAAGTTATTGAGCTGCTTATTGTGGGGTTGAAATTTTATCTACAAAGACCCATAAGAACTATGTTTTAAAATTTTTCCAGTTTACTTCCATCCCACTTGAAATCTCTCAAGGCCTTTTAACTCCGTAAATTTTAACTTTATCTTTAAGCAGTCATTTACAAGATGAAGTTGTAAAAGAAATTTACTTTAGTTTGAAAAATGGAATATTTTATTAAGAGATGGAAATGCATTTTAAACTAATTTCATAATTTCAAAAATTAAAGGACACTTTACTTTTGTTAAAGTAAGAGCCATATTCTAATTAAGTTATTTTATAATGGTAGCAAGAATATACTTTTGGAGTAAACATAAAGATACTTGCTAGAAAATCTAGCAACATGTTCTCCTACAGGTGACCACCACACCTTCATCTTCTTTTGTATTTTTTTTCTCTGAGACATCTTAGCTTTGCTTTCTGTGCAGAATCCTGAACTTCTTCTTTAGTGGGGTCTGATGGAGCAAACCTGTATGCTATGCCATATGAAGCAAGATTTTGTATGGGGCTACTTGCTTTAAAACTTGGG